CCTCTCCAGCCACCACCCACCCACCCCCTTAAAAAAATGGGAGCATATATTGTGTTACCAATCTAATTCTTATTTCGTTTTGTCCTCATCTACCATCCTGTCCTGTTGATATTCATTGTCATGGGGCTCTACCGACTTCATTTCTTAACAAGTTTTTCATGACAGATTATACAGTAATGCAAATGTCTAGCACAAAAATAGCTCCTATTGTTTTGGAGTGAGATTCATCAGCTTGGAGTGAATAATAAAAGCTAAGCTTGTTTTGAAAACAAACAGTGATAGTAAACAGTAAAACTTTCGAAAACGTCTCTTTGCTGTGTCAAGCTGTGTCAAGCAATTAACTCTAAATCACTGAAAACAACTCACTAATCCACAGTTTGCCGAATCAGTAAAGCCAGCTGTCAGAAAATATCGCGACAGTTCGACAAATAGTACTTTGATACTAACAATCACTAAGGGGTAGAATTGGGTAAAAACGTGTTACCCGTCTCCCAGACTGGCTGCAGCAAACAAGTGTTCAAGTCCTGTTTGTGTTCAAACAAACTAAGCATTGACCTCATACATGGGTCAGTCTAGACTTGATTCACTTCCGTTTATGAGTAGTTTCCCCTACAGAAGAAAATTTTTCTGTTCTTTGAAATTCCCCCATGTGCTTTAAAATTCTCCTATTTCAACAAGAAAATAGCCTTTTTTTCAAAATATTTCCTTATATGATTTTACTTTAACTCATTCACCCCTGAAGACACATTTGAACTCTTCCAATTCAAAGGTTGGAATAGTTCATTATGAAACTTCAGGGGTGAATGAGTTAAAGTCTAACAGTTTAAATGCATAATACTGCATAACTTATTTTCTTCACATAATTTATACAAAGGTTCTACAATTTAAGCTTAAGATTGTTTATAAATTGAAATATACTGCACATATGTTATTGACTTCATAGGTAGGGGGGCATTATTGAATTCATAGGTTTTCTAGTTTATATCTTTTTAACTGAAAGTACATTTGAAACCTACACATTATTATGAGTGTTAACTAAAACAAGTGCTTCCACTTTTTGCTCTAAGAAGGTAAGATGGGTTGTATATCAGTAGACAAATCTTTGCAAAATGTTTTTATGATAAAAATATATGTTTAAGACAGCATTTAGGAAACTAACAGTGCTTGTTTAAAGTAAGTAAAGCAAAAATAAAAAAATAGTAGTGTACAATGATAGAAAGGGAAACAGAATATTGTTTTGGCCTGATAACATTTTCCTGGTCACATTTACAAGGTAAAAACACTTCCACATCTTCCTCAGTGTAGAAAAGTGATGGAAGCTATATTTTAATAGTATAACTTCTTAACGTCAGTTGTGGCCGCTTTTATCCTTTCAGGCTCAGTACGCCAAAGCAGACGCACAATTCTACTGTCAGGTCATGCCTAAATACTTACAGAGGATGGTGCTGTTTGTAGATGTCATGAAACTCCAGAGGGAAAACCAGCAAAACTGTGAGGAATTCCGAAGGTAAAGTAAAGGATTTGTAATTCACACAGGTAAAGTAAAGAATTTGTAATTATACCCCCCGCAACAAAGTTAGGGGGTATACTGGAATCAGCTTGTGCGTCCGTCCAGCCGTAAGTCCGTCCGTAGAAACTTTTTGTCCAGACAACTCCTTCTAAAGTTTTTGGATCGATTTCAAAAACAGTTTCCAGATATGATAACTAACACCTGAAGGTGTGCATCCAGGTATTTGTTTTTCATTCTGACCCTTTTTTACAAAGTTATGGCCCTTTGTTGAAAAATCCTGAAACTTTTTGTCCGGACAACTCCTTCTAAAGTTATGGATTGATTTCAGCAAAAGTTTCCAGATATGATAACAACACAATGTACCATCTGCAGTTGTGCATCCGGGCATTATTTTTTCATTCTTACCCTTTTTTACAAAGTTATGGCCCTTTGTTGAAAAATCCTTGTCTGGACAACTCCTCCAAAACTACGGGGCCAATCTCAACGAAAGTTTTCAGATATGACAACTACCCCCTGATATTGTGCATCCACATATTGTATTTTTCATTCTGACCCTTTCTACAGAGTTACCTTTGTTATAAAATGCTTGCCAACACAACTTCTCCAAAATTTCTGGGCAAATTTCAATGAAAGTTTTCACATATGATAGCTACCACCTGATGTTGTGCATCCAGGTGTTATTTTTTCAATCTGTCCCTTTTTTTTGAGTAATAGTCCTTTGTTGAAAAATACTTGTCCAGACATGTACATCTCCTCAAAGACTATGCAGTCAATTTCAACAAAAGTTTTCAGATATGATAACTACCCCCTGATATTGTGCATCCAGGTATTTTTTTCCAACCCTTTTTTATGGAGTTACAGATATGGTAACTGCCCCCTGACGTTGTGCATCCAAGTAGTAATCAACCATTCTGGCAGTTTGACATTGGGTGCAAATTACAGATTATTTCTAAATTTTAATATTGCTGTTAAAAAACATAGGGAGGATTGCCTTGTTAAAAATGTTGTGGACGCATAGGATCATCTGTGTTTTTGTAACAAAAATTCCAGTTAACTTTTCTCCTTGATATCTCTATTGTATTTAACTTATACACATGTTACCTTTGGTTTCTCCAGTTTCTTTTTTTTTTTTAACTTTTCCAGAGAAAATCTTCAGGCACGATTTTTTTATCTCTGGCATAAGTCATATTTGCAGAGTTCTGATGACAGAATGAACTTGAGAATGGTAAGTAAGAACAAGACTACCGGAAACCTTACTGAGAATATATATATAAATACCTGGTAGGTGAATAGTAATAATAAGCAGTGTGACTGTAATTCACTGTACTGTGCAGAAGTCATTTATCAGATATTTGTACTTCGCCACAGGAAACATTCTTCGTCATCTTTTCATGTTTTAAACATTATTTCTTTAATACATAGTTTCAAAGTCAGGAAATTAAAGATCAGAAAATCCCTTAAAGGAATCAATCCTATATTTTTCTTGTTTTCCAATAAAATTGACCATTGCAAATTTATTTACATATTCCTTTTGAAACAAGATGTGACAAGGGTTAATTTTTACAGAACAGTTTAATATATCTATTTCTATTCTATATAATAAAAAAAATGTAAAATATTTCTTTAGCAGTTGTGACATATTGAACATGTACATAGTAATGAATGTCAAACATTTTAGGCCATCTTGCATTATGACGAGTGTGTCAAGAAACGATTCCTGGCATGTTGGAGAAGGAAAAGAGTTGAAGCCCATCAAGAGAACGAAAAACAAGTAAGTTATTACCGAAATCTAAGGGCCTTACTCTGAAACATTGTAATGTTGAAATATTTGTGGAGAAAAAAATAAATGAAAGTTTTAATTCCATAATGAAAACTTAACAAAATATCATCATAAGTCTTTATTTTGACCCACTCATGTTAACCCTATTTTGGACACACTTATGTTAGTCTTAACCCTTTCACCCCTATGTAACTTTAGTAAACTCTACCATGCATTGGTCTCGATGAGTCCATTTTGGTCAACAGTGTTGAAAGGGTTATAAATGTACGTCCTTTTAATATTTAATAGAATTGTTGAGGTGAGATTTGCAGCCTTTTTTTTCCTTTTCATCTTTGATATCTCATTGCTTTAAGACTTGTTTGTATTGAGTTTTTAACAAATGATTGAACAGATTGACGGTAGCTGTTTGTTATTTGTTACAATACGTATTGAACCTTTACTATTTTTCAGGACTTTGCCCATGACCATTATAGTGCTAGCTTGGTGGAGAAATGCTTCAGAAGATTGAGAACTCATGTCAATGACTGCAAGCTCAGGTAAACCTTTGCCAGCGGCTAGTAAAATTGACCATATGAAATGTGATCTGTTCATAAAGTCATGTTGTGATTCAGATTTATCTCAAGTTGAGGGGAGATATGCTGCAAAATATTCCATTAAAAAAATAATGCACTCATGCTACTAAGATTGGCTCCTGGGTATGGTCTTGCCACTGGGTACTTCCTGGATCATATCATGGAAATAGTTTAATTTCAATGAAATCCTCAACCTATAGGAATGATATCACAATATCAATGATCATGACCTCCATTTGAGTGTTACGACAGGGGTTCCAGACAAGCTGAAAATGATAGGAAATCTAACACCAGGTTTTTTAGTGTCAATGATTTTTCCTGTCGGAGTGTGTGCTGAGAGAGAGGCTCCGAGAGGGAGAAATAACGGGAAATACTACTGATTGTGAAGGACATGATATAAACATTCCAGCTTGTCTCCTCAGCCAATGAAATCACTCACACAATTATGATGTATAAGTAATATTTCTTAATGTATATTTACAGTAAGAACAACGAAGTACGTGCTGCCAAACACCATTATGTCAAACTCTTGTCTAAAGTTTTTTCAGCAATGAAAAAGGTGAGTTATTTTTCTTCGGACCTTCCTGTATTTGAGTGACATTTAGCAAAACTACCCTTGTAAAATTTAATGTCAGCATTCAATTTGACCTCCAAAATTATGATAAGGAAATTACCACATTGTGTTTCAACCACATGACCATGCCTATCAGATCAGAAAATACCTAACATCGAAACAATACTGAATAGTTGCTGAACTCATCTGATATGGACTACGGAAACTGCACTGAATAGTTGCTGAACTTATCTATTTCAGTATGCAGTATACCAATGTGACAAACACAGGAAAATGTGCCAAGCTAGAGAGTTCAGACAAAGACTTGTCTGTCAGGTAGTCATGGCAACATGGAAAGGCATGGTTGATCAGGGGAGACAATTCAAGTATAAGGCTGACCAAAAGTACCAGGAGAAATCTACCTCACTCCTCAGGTAGAAAATAATCATGGAAAATATGAATTTGTTTAGATCTATTCTGTTGTTGTTCTGATTGATTCGATTCTAATCCAAATATTACGCAAGAAATACCTTTAAAAAGATAAACGGCAGAGTTTCGATGTGTGTGGTTATAAGTTGAAATAGCTGTGTACCTATGACATTGTTTAAAACATGAGACGGATGGATTTCAATGAAATTAATAACTGCTCAAAAAAGAAAACTCACATTTTACGATTTACCCATACTACTGGCCAATGGAATAATGCATCCCTACCATTGGTGCCACCTAGCACGTCAAATAACACCGTGGAGTTTCCCAGTGAATCTCAATTCGTTCTTAAACATCTCATTCGAAAAATATGTGTAAATGCACATGTTTTTATTACATACCATGAATTTTCCCCCCCATTCCAATTTAAGGGCAGTAACTCTTCCTGTCTGTTGTTGAACTTATCTCCCCTTAGACCACTTCAATAGTTAGCTAAACATAACTTAATATATGAATTATATAACAATTTTAAAATCAAAACTTCATAGAGGATTAAGTATATCTGTTGGACAAATAACAGTTGTATTTCATCAGTTTAAGTCTATGGTTCAATATTTTTTACTGGTGCGGTTTCATGATTCAAACCAATTTGTCATGTTTTACAGGAAAGCACTGAAGACATGGCATGATAATGTTGAGACTCAGATTCTGGATCGGATAATTGACCAGACTGCTAAGCTACACTGTAACAGACGTCTACTGAGCAAGGTAATGTCACACAACTTGTATGTGTCACCACACCCAGTATTTCAGTACCTGAAAAAGACACTATCAAAGCAGCAAGAGGTTTCAGTGACTAAAAATAATTTCACCACCCACAGGTCTTGGCTTCTGAAAAAGAACATTTTCTCACCCAGAGATTTTGGTGCTTGAAGAAAAGACAATTGAATGCAATCAGCATCAGAGATTTCCTCCTAATCTCTATTAGTATCTAATAAGACGATTTCCTGCTGTGCTGTACCAACAACTAAAACAATTTTCCTTCCTATTATGTGTCAATCAGAGCTTTCCTAATGTTCTGTACTTGTGACAGATCAAAGATTTCATCATATGCAGTACTGAAGACTTACAGAGATTTTCTTAAATGTTGTTTACCAGTCAGAGATTTCCTGATGTAGTGCACTAATAATACCTTTCCGTCTATTTATAGGTACTGACTACCTGGCATAGATACGCTGCTATCCACGCCTACAAGAAGTCCGAGACAAGACATTGGGTGGAAGCGACGAAGCAGGTGCTAAATCAAAGTCAGTGTTCCGTCATGTTCTTACTATCACATTCTACAGATAAGCAAATGCATTATGCAAGGAGATGGGATTAACATAAGTAGTACTTTGTACTTGTTTTCGAATCCTATATGTATATCATGTTTGTATTACTGGAATATTATACCCATAATAAAATTAAGTTTAAACTAAATGCATTATGCCTTTACAAAATGCTATTTTTTAACATTAAAACATCAATAAGAACATATATAGATGGTGCTTTTCATAGTGTAATGAAACATTAAAGATTGCTAGAAATTCAAACCTTAACCTTCTATGTCATAAACAAATCATTCAAAAATTATCTTTTCAGTGCTGTGTTAGAAACTCAAATTATTGCATTAATACTAGTGTGGAGATGTCCTTTTATATGTTTTTCTACATCAATCTCAAAAATAATATTCGTAAAACAACAATTTCTTTTACTTGGGAGTTAACAAACCGGAACATTTTCATTCTTTAAGGATGAAAAACCTTTTAAGTTGATGTCAGGATTGCATTATAAACGCTATTTTGCAGTTGTGTTTTTGGGGGCTGGCTGGCATGACCAAAAAATAAAAGGGAAAGAAAAAGTATGTATATCAATAAGAAAATTAAGTAACTACTTAAAATAATTTGAATATAATTTGTGTGTTACAGACAAACTAAGAAGATGCTTTGGTCAGTGGCGACTAGCCAAGGAAAGGTCATTACTGTTCCAGTTACGACAAGCCCAGGCAGAGCAACATCACAACCGTTACATCCTACAGCAAGTGTTCCAGGTCTGGGGAGTATTTACAGAACAGTCCCGCTCAAAAAAGGTACAACGACCGTCTATGTGGTGTATATATAAAGCCAAAGAAAACTAAATGGTTCAGGTTTAGTCAACAGCACACAAATTAAAAAAAATATTCATCATTTTACTGACTGATACTAAAAAAAAATAACTTTGATTATAGATAACTATACTTAAATATACTTGGTTCTGATGCTGCTCACCTAGTGGTCGGAAACATGTTAACTGGAATTTTGCCGAGACTCCCCTTTTGATGTTCGAATGTCTGGTCATCTCTTAAGTAAATTTCGATTAGTTTTCGGCCCACTAGTGAATTCCATTTAAGAATTCATAAACTGATCATGAGTTACGCAACGCATAACTTTACTGAATATCAACTAGCGGACGTTGGATCCTATTTTCCCTCGTATATGATTATAGGAGTCAGACTTTGTAATCTTTTGGTAAATAGACTAAAACCCTATCCATAAGGTTTTTATGGATTACATATACAGTGAAAACACATCAAAAAATGTCTTGACACTCTGCTTCCTGAGTGTATTATTGGATGTCTCCAAGAGGAATATATTTATACAATACTTCAGTGGTTCCTAACTTGCAATTTTGGCTTTATAGTTATTTAACACTCAACAGTTGGTTGTACATTGTATAAAATCAAAAGTGATCGTTGATTATAATCGTGGCCCATATTCATGAACCTGTTCTCATGCTCGAGCATATGTTAAAAACTACTTTTTTATAATCTGTTCAAACATGTGACACAGTCCAAAGGTCATGTATATATATATATATATATATAATAAAAACTAGTATATTATCTACTAGTATATATCTAGTATATATATATATATACTGCAAATGGTATTTAGCCATGGCTCTACCCAGAGTTCTTCCACATCATTGACTAGATAGGATTTTTTAATCAGTTTATTAGCAAAATAAGAAATTGGGATAGAGTACAGAATCAGAGCGTGAGAATGGTTTAATAAATATGGGGGAGGGGGGTGGGGGTGATAACTGATGAAATTAATTGATATTTAGAGTCTGCACTTACATTCCGTAACATTGTTCTAATTCACTTAACCCTTTCACCACTGTAGACCAAAATGGACTCATCCAGATCAATGCATGGTAGAGTCTACTAAAGTTACATAGGGGTGAAAGGGTTAAAGTATTTTAATTTTAAACTTATGGGTCTTACCATATCTCTTATTTTTTATGTTTCTCTAACCTGTTATTTGATAGGACTGGATTCCAAGAGTTATGATTAAATTGAGATATTATTCTGTTGGATTACAGTTGCTGATGAAGCAGTGTACTTGGTTTAACAACAAGCGCCTGACCATTGGTTTCTTCGCTACTTGGAAGTCGCAGTATTATCTGGCTGAGGAGGAGCACAGCAAGTCGGGACTAGCACTGTGGCACTGGAGTCTGGTTGTACAGAGAAAGGTAGACATCTTCAAATTCATCCACATAATGTCACTGTTCAGGGTGCAGTGGTTTGAATTAAAACAGCAGTATTAGTTGATTGAAATATACTGACCAACCATATGCTAGCTATTTGTCAAAGTTGGTGCAACCTGCAACCATGAATATTTTCCAGGCAAAAAGTTTTTCGGGATATCCAAGTTACCTGTAAAGTACATAACAACTTACTTTTGTTTATGCTTGCTCAGCTATCTCTCTACCTGAGGCCCAAGAATCTGTTACTGTCAAACATTATATATAGTTGGAGTGGGTCGAGGGTGGTCTGGAAAATCTATCTTCTTACCAATCATACCCTACCTATTCGCATAGATAGCAAGAGTTTGTTATTTAACTGTTAAGAACTTAATTACTATAACAAAAATCTAGACAGTTTAGTTAGTTTTCATATTTTTATAATTATTCAATATGTTTATATATTTGATTGAAGGTTTTGATAACATGGTACACGGAAACTCAGAACAGGAAGCGGAAGAAACAGCGCCTCCTGGAGGCACTGGAGAGAAGGAGGAAGCGCCTGCTAAGACAAGGAGTGGTTCAGTGGCTGACCATGGCTTCAGATCTAACCGAGATGAGGGCCAAGTTCGCAGCACAACAGCATGCCAAGGTTGTTATTTATTATATAAACAACAATTATTTTAGAAATAGTTTATAAAGGATGTTTTCATGATAAATGTACATGTTCCATTGATAAATGATGGCTCTACTTGTATAAAAAAAAGGGGATATTTCCATTTGAAGTATAATGTTGACAGAAATCTTCAGATTTGAAGAAATATTTTTGTTAAAGCAAGTTTCAGATTTAACGATATCTATGATGGATAATAAAAATCAGTGATTTAATGAAATGTTGAGGGGATAGTATATTGTTTTGAGTGTCTGTACACTGGTGGTTATTAGGAAATGGAATAGTTTTGTAATAGAGACCTAATAGGTTGGAACCAGATTTTATTTCTAATCATCAGTATAGACAATTAAAACAACGATACTATCCTTTAAACATTCCATCAAATTCAGAGTTTTTAGAAAACAACATTCCTATCGCTTCAACTATAGGTAGTAAATCGTAGTCTAGGACTTGTTCCTATGATGTGTCACTCTACCGCAAGAAGAGCTGACAAAGTTTAATTATTTCATTCATAATGTGTTTTTAAAATGGTATTTTTATGTTGGAATAATAAAAATATGCAGTTGAAGAGATCGTTTTTAATACAAGAAAAAACAAATTAAGCTCAGGTAGATTTTTTCATATAGATTTATTTACATGTATTGAGTAAACTAATATTTTGTCTTACAGAGTGCTTTTGTGAAACACCAACTTATCCAGAGGTGTGCTTTTCACTGGCGGCACTGGACAGCCAGGAGGAAACTTCAGAGGGGAGATAACTCTAAAGTCCCTGTCAGACAGCTGATTGCTCCTCCATCCGCACACAGAGATATTTTTTATCTCAAGGTCTCAGATCTGCCAGGCAGGAAACACACAATGACTGCAGAAGCAGGAATACCATTGCCAGCTCTCTCAGCATCCCCTACTAAAGGTGGAGGGAATCGTCCTACGTCTGGGCTGGAAATGCCTGTTCCAGACCTTAGGTAAAATTTTATGTATACATTGAATCTATTATAGAAATTTCCATAACTTGCCTACATTACATCATTATATTTCTCCTTTGACGGAAATCTCGGGTGGCACATGGCTTAGATCTGCATTTTGTGTTGAAGGATTAAATATATAGGTAGAATCAAAAACATATTTATTGGTACCGTATTGTTGACATTTTTTTTTTATTATAAAACGATTTTTTAATTTCTCCTTATTGGCTAGAATTGTGTCATATGATTCCAAATAAACAAATGTTATTGACCGGCTCTTCAAGAAAATCTGGATGACTGGGGGCCTGTTCGTCTATGCGGAACAACTGGTTTGTCCGTTTTTAAATGCAACATTTTCGGGTATTAATGCTGGCGGACCTGCAAATGTTTATGCAGGCCTTGCCAGGCTTTGTCAAGGCTCGCCTGAAAGTAGCATCAGATTACTAGGTCCGACCTTATTTAATAAACGAACAACTGTGGTCCAACCAGTTAAACAGTTTAAATGAAAATGGCCTGGGTGTTTCTAAAAATAGATTGGGTGTTCCGAATTACCTCCCTTGACCTTTAACAATATCAAACACCTTTCAATCAATTTCAAAATAGACAAGTAATTAATTTTCAAATTTTTAGATTGAAGAATTGGATATATTTCAGGTGTATATGTTCCAATACATTTCAATTTTTTACTGCTTCAAGATTAAAAAAAGACGATTTCAGTGTAATATTTTCTTTTATTGCTGTTTATAAAGTTACATTCGTTCTGCATGTTGATTTTCAGAATTCTTAACTCACTACTGAAGTCAATATCTTATTGATGGGCAGAACTTCACATTTTACAGTATTTTGTACTGTAGTTATTGAATATTAAGTTCCTTTTTACAGGTTACAAGCCCGGAGAAAGCCTCGCCATCCAGCATTTTTGGCGGACTCTTTGAAGAGAGCTGGACTATTTGTTCAGAATGTTGATGAGCAGGAAACAAGGTAAGTGCTCCATTTCACAGTGATTAACCTCAGCCCGGGTTTGTTCTTACCTGAAATTCGTAATTAGAAGTCTTGAAAGAAAAAGTTTTTAAACAAAAAAATCAAAGGGGAAAAATGCTTTAATTCATGAAGGGCCTTAATAAGTACCTATTAAACTTCATTAAATACTTCAAAAAAAATTGTTGGATAAATGCTTAAACATATTTTCTTGAAACAAGAAATATTTCATGGAAGTCTCGTACAGGTAACTATAAAATTTGTATTGTACTGTTTTTGATTGACAGTGTGCAAAGAAAAATATGTAATATTCAACAAAATTAGCTAAAATTGCATAAAATATTATGTACATATATGGGATAATAATTCAAAACTTTCTCTTTTTTCGGAGATTATTGATTTATTTGTATCTTGCAGAAGTGACAATTTCCCCCAAAAACCTACGTCTCCCTCTCAGACTGAAGGTAGTCAGAAACCGCATGAGGAGACAACACAACCTGACGAAGTCTCTGGTGAACACATGCCTGTTTCATATATGCCAAAATCTGAAGTGTCAATACCCCATAGGACTGTTGTTCATTCCGACAAAGATACTGAAAAGTATTCGATACGTAGGAATATTGACGAGTTACCTCCATTGTCCCAAGAGACAAAATTGGTGTCTTGGTTGCCAAACCCTGAAGAGACCCAGATTTCCAAGCTTTCTCTTGAAAAAGATCAAAGAAAATCGGACCAAGTTAGAAAAGAAGTGCCAAAATTGGACTCTTTAGAGAAAGGTGATGAATACAGAACAATAGAATGTTATGTTTTGAAGCCAGAATTTCAACTACTTACCCCCGCCGATTTCATGGCCCCTGGGAGATGTGATGGGGATAGTGACATTTCACCCCAATCAACACCACGTTCTGTGGATTCAGATAGGAGTAATTTTGAAATGCCATGTTCTGAAGAGTCTGCAGATAAACAGATTGTCTGGATCAGGAACCATCTCAAGGAGTTTGAGCAAAGGAAGAAGAAACTCAGGTACCGATTCAGATTCAGAATTAACTCGATGTCAGAGTTTGTGTTTGCTCCAAGGCTAATCACAGGATATTTACTATAAAGTATACAGTAACATGTGTTCAGTGTATGAATTAAATTACGACAGAAATATACACATATCATTATCATTTATAAGTAGGAATTTTGGTTGTAAAAAAAAAAAAAATGACATTAAATTTATCAACTTTTATCACTAAATATTGACAATCACAATTTTCATGTATGTATTTTGTTTAACAGAAAATTGCAGAAACAGCATCAGCAGTTGAGAGATTGGATCAGACTTGAAGAGGTCAAAGGTCAACCAGATGTTGAGGTCAACCAGGTCAGGATGGAAGTTGAACAGGTAAGTCAACATTTTATTCAACATTTTTGAGAAATCTTGTATTCAAGGGTGCCATCACTGCTATTACAGTATCTAAAAGTAATACCAATGTTTCCAGGATTACCTCATCTTCAAAATCAAAGGGTTCTGGGAGGGAGGGATATGCATATTTGAATGGTCGGGTGGCACAGTGATTAGCCCTCTCACCTTCACCATAACAGCTGAGTGGGTTTTCTCTGGGTGCTTCCTGATCAGTTTCCTTCCACATTAAGACCTCCTGCAGGTCACCATCTGGGCCAACAAGGATGATTTATATCAGTCGATAAAACTTGTTTCACAATTAATTAAACTCCCAAGAACTTATATGAATATCGAAGAGTGATAAACCTGGTAAAAATTATAATACAAACTGAAGCTTGTTGACAGTATAACACGTATAACATGGTAGATATGTGATAAAAACAGTGTATAAGTAGGAAGATTTTAGGCAAGGGGATGTTACTTACATTCTTTAACCAGAATCAGAACAATGAATTGACCTTTTGAGCAGATACATGCATTGTGTATCGTACCTTTAGGTATGGTAATTGATGCAGCCCTAAATAATGCATGTATTACTAATCAAGACTTAAGTTCTTTTTTCTGGTAATTATCCTTGGAAATAGAGAGACAACATGTAAAAAATAAATTCAATTTGTTGCAGATGGAAGCTGAACTCAAATTGCTGCGGACATCAGTAGAATCAGATAAACCTCATTGTGCTGAGCTTGTCAAAACTGTCAGCCGTCTTGTACAGGAATTCCATAATATAGGCTGAACACGCCTTCAAATAATTGTTGTTTAAAGATTTATAAAAGGCACTTGAAGACCAACTTTAAAAGTCAGTTAAGAATCTGCCAATTTCTTGAATACCATTTTAAAAGAAGTATAATTTTACCACCTGTCTGTCCAAATACTATCTGGGGATACTGTATAAACACTGGCTATATATAGGGGGAATACCTACAGCCAACTCTATGATAAAGATCATCAGCCTGGACAAAGTGGTACTAGTGATTTGTAAAACACACACATAGGATTTTTCACTGATAGCTTAACATAGCAATATTTGGAATATATGTGGAATGTTTCCCTCAGAATATATGTGGAATGTTTTCCTCAGAATATAAGTGGAATGTTTTCCTCAGAATATAATTGGAATGTTTCCCTCAGAATATATGTGGAATGTTTCCTCACAATATAATTGGAATGTTTCCCTCAGAATAAATGTTGAATGTTTTCCTCAGAATATAAGTGGAATGTTTTCCTCGGAATATATGTGGAATGTTTTCGTCAGAATATTCATTAATAATTTTACATCTCTTTTTGAAAAATGTCTATGCATGAAATTCAAATTTCAAAAAAAAAAGTCTCCCCCTGATTCCTTTATTAAACATACATGTCCAAAGTGATACTTCTCAGAATGATAAATGAAAGAGCCTTTTACAAGTATTTCAAGTATGTTATTGTTAGTGATAATATTGTAGAAATATCTGAACTAAACCAGCTAGTTTACTGTAGTCTAGATATAAAGGCCATGTTGTAAAACATATCCTATGATGTATTATATGATGTTTATGTACAGCATTAATTTAAATTATTACTTTTTTATGGCATTATGAAAAATAAATAAGAAATAAAAAGTGCAAGTTTTGTTATTTTTTACCCCCTCCCCACAAAAGGAAAGTGTGTGTGTGTGTGGGGGGGGGGGGGGGGGGGGGGGATGTGTCATTGTTAGTACTTAGAGTCAAGGGAGTGCCCAACTTAACATGCATCATTGCAGGTGACTATTTCCTTCAACATTATCTGTACCATCTGTGACATTCTCCTTCTCCAACAGGACAAGTAGACACTACCTCAGTGTTGGGAAATTTGTAAAAGCTGTTTATTGTTGGGAGGTGCAAACATATGCATTAAGAACTGATCATTTTATACATCATATGTCGGTCCTGACCTCTTACTCCTGTTTTATTGGTCAGATCTTTGTGGTATCACATACATGGAAATAAAACAATTTTGTAAATTATAGCAACACAGTGTCCAAAGATATGGTTTTGGTGTTTGACTGTTTGTAGTACCACTGATAAGTCTGAAATGGCTGTAAATGGCTGAAATGGCTGAAATGGCCGTCTGGTGCTGTAAAATGCTGACTTTGTTAGGCATTCTGCATCAACAATCAAAAGTTCAAAGACGTGCTTCATTTCTTTGTTTCTAGTGATTGTTTTCTATTGTGTCAAAGGCTGTGTTAAGTTGGATTTCTTGAAATTCCCAAAATTGTTTGTTACTGGTGGATTCTGTTCCTGCCAAAGAGGATCCATTGGTTTTTCGGAATGAGTTTGAATTTCTATCAAACTGGTCAGAATATAGCCCCTATAGACAGGATATAGCCTATATATTTGTAACTGTGCCCTCAACTCTCAGCATACTTGCCAACTCTCCCTATTTAGTAGGGAGATTACCGATTTTGGAATCCTAATTCAATATTTCCAATAAGCGAATTTGCTGAACTATTCCTATATTCTAAGATCCAATGATTTCGTCTGAAAGAAAAACTTGACATGTGTCATTTTAAAGGGTTATTGTGTCCCTAGGGGTATCATCCTCCATATTCAGGATGTACCCTCACTTTCTCTGTAGAGAGCAAAAGTGAGCTAACCCCAGGATATCCAGGATGAGAGAGTATATACACATTTTATGTATGTTATCATTGTGCCATCAGCACAAACTCTGGTCTGATGTAACAGACATCATTTTTTTCAATGGGTTGAACCCTAGACCTCTGGTTTACTAGTCTTACGCACTTCAATACCTTCATAATGTAAAAAGACACATCAAGTCACATTGATAAGGTAAGATAGCATCTACCCTTTACCCTTACAAAAAACCACAGGTAAAAGGAAGCATATGTCCTTAACTCTGCCGCAAATGATTACATGTTCAAGTTTGCACAAGACCTCCACTCTTCCAACAATCATATATCTACTGGTGTGAGGTAGCATATGCCTTTAACTCTAATAGAGGTATACTATGTAATATGACATATATCCTTAGCTGTATCGCATGTATACTGGTGTAAGGTAGCATATACCCTTAACTCTGACACAAGTCACGTGTATACTGGTGAAAGGTAGCATATACCCTTAACTCAGACACAAGTCACGTGTACTGGTGTAAGGTAGCATATATCCTTAACTCAGACACAAGTCACGTGTATACTGATTTAAGGTAGCATATACCCTTCACTCAGACATAAGTCACGTGTATACTGGTTTAAGGTAGCATATACCCTTAACTCTGACACAAGTCACGTGTATACTGGTGTAAGGTATCATATATGCTTGACTCATGACACAAGCCACGTGTATAATGGTGTAAGGTAGCATATATCCTTAAAGGGGCTGGTCGGGGGTGNNNNGTCATATTTGCTAAAATGGCATACACATGTTTAAAATACCTTCTTATGAAATATACCGATTCAAATTTTGCTGAAATTCACTCCCCAAGAGAAAAAAATATACTTATATTAAAGAAATCCTAAATCGTCATCTGACAGTCTAAAACTCTCAATTGACCCAGATCAGTGATGTAATTTTACCGCACGCGCGTCATCAATAAGCCAAATGTAAACATCGCGGCGAAAGAAAAAGATGCATTCAAAAGTCATGACAGGCACGAGGTATCAATACCGTTATATATAACAACAACACATAGGTAGGAATACTACACTTGCATCAAACATGACATTTGAAAACAATTATTTACGCATAGTATTGCTGTATTGTCCGCTATTTGAGTCCGACATGGCACACGACGGCGTGCTATTGTTATTATCTTTACTGCCTCAGTTTCGAAACAACTACGTGACATATATAAATAGATCTGCGCTAAATTTACGCGGGGCATCCCCGAGATTTCAGTGGTCACATTGCAAGCAGTACTCGACCATCATATTGCCGTGGTATAACTTTTGGAAGGCCAGAGAACGCATTTAGACCCATTTATTTTGTATTTTTTCCCCCCGACCAGCCCCTTTAACTCTGACACAAGTCACGTATATACAGGTGTAATGTAGCATATACCCTTAACTCTGACACTAGTCACGTGTATACAGGTGTAAGGTAGCATATACCCTTAACTAAAATACAGGTATACTGTGTAAAATGGGATATAACCCTAACTCTAACATACATCACAGGTATCCTTTTTAGGGTTCATGTAGCATAAATATAGCTTGAACTCTAAACACAAATCACAGGTAAAATATAAGCAAGATAGCATATATCACTTAAAATATATAAGGCAGCATATAACCTTGACTCTTACACAAATCACAGGCATTATTTGTCCATTGGTCTAGGGAGAAGTATAAAGTTGTTGGGAGCTTTGTCATATGTTGTCGGTTAGCGAGGCGGCAACTCTTACATGTAAACGAGGGATATAATCAATCAATATTTTATTCAGTGTCGCGCATCACATCACATGTAGCATATACAGATAGAAATATACATTGCTGATAAAGGGTATCAATTAAAAACACGTTTTCAAGATTATTTTAAAGTTGATGTAGTCGACTTATCAGACACTCTATCATTATTTTACCTAGTAATTAAAACTATGTTGACGGCAATATTTAAACATAAGGGTAAGCGACTTTGCAAGTAAAAATTGTAAGTCATTAGATTGCATTAGAAATAAGAACTTCTGATGACTATTGAGATAAGCCAAATTATTATCATATTGTATAGCTATCCTTTAATGCTTTCATAAAGGACAGTCACACTGAAAGGGTTCTTCCTTTTCAACGGTGTTTGGACAGAACGGGCAGTTCCTCTCTTCCAGTGGTATGTTGTGAAACCGACCAGTCTCGATCCGTAAAGGGAGGCAACCAAGTCTCAATTTAGCCAATGTGCTTCGATAGCTTCTCGGCAAATTACACAAAACGTAATAATCCGGAGTTTTATCCTTGTAAAATTTACGTAGCGGTCTAGGTTTATTTTATTGGCCGTTCTTATCTGACCACATGTTAACCAGTTGTTTCGTCCACCCTCCTTAATTTATTGTTCCTTGATTTCACACAACTTATATTTAATTTAAAATCAATAATATTAAGTTTTCCAGCTAGTATTCGGGCTCTGGCTTCCCATGAGTAACCACGACGTGAAGACCAATTATATACTTTATACAATAATATATTACTTTCCGTATTCGTTTTGTAGCCCTTCGTCAAATGTGGTGATGGTCGCAAATTTTAATTTACACAACAAATTCAACGACCGTTTGGTATATTTTCGTCAAACATGGTTGCTAAAATGTATCAAATGTGGTCGTTTAACGTATTTTTGGGGTCAGTATTGGGTGGTCGCTGGTCGCGTTAGACAGATGGTCGCTTAATACAGTTAAATTACATAGTAAAAACGGTTGGGAGGAATGAGAAGTGGTCGCACAAAACAGATGGTCGTTTAATACAGATGGTCGCTTAAGCAGATTCGAATGTACTTCAAATCGCTGTTTTGTTAGAGAAGAAGACCATCCATTTCGCCGTGCACGTGGCTCAAATGATTAAACGCTCGTTTACTTAAGCCGAGAAAAAAGTTTCATCGCACGGTTTTGAATGTTATTAATCATTGCTTGGCCATATATATAATCATACATATAATATTGAGGTTTTACAAAATTCTTTCTGCAATTTTCATTTACGAGCTAATTAATTAGATTTTCTGAAGTTTATTTCACCGTATGTACAGTACATATAGAATGTATATTATAATAAATTATGCTAAATTAAAACTATAAAGTACTCATTACTTTGGTACATTGTCGTGAATTTAACGGACTTCCGTTACATTTGTACTGTATCATACACAATTTGAATCAAAACGAACTTAAATAAAACTGCACTGTTACTCGTGAACAAACCGCCTGTATCACCAGAGTTATACATACCAAGACTGTCGGCTGTGATGAACAATGGCGGGAACACCCACCTGTAAGACATACCTTGATGTACCTGTATGACTAGCACACCTTGACCGAACATTTTTATCACCTGTGTCACACCTACCCGTACCACACCTGAACGTAACGCGCCCCGTGTCTGTAGCACGCCATTTTATATAAATCTTAAAAGAATACAACTATTATATTCCCTTCTGCTCAGCTGAACAAGGGTTATTTAGAAATATCACGAAACCCGTAAAATAAGCAATGATTGAGACATAATTATACCGTTATCAAGTATACTAAATAATATAAAGATAAATTGCGACCTTTGTATTCGGTTCCGGAAGGTCGGTCCCGTCTCCGCCGAGCTTATTAGATTAATCATACGGTACACCGTATTTTCTTTCATTCTTTATCCGAACGCCATCGTAAAAATCTACAAGAATTAATTCAACAACGAAACGAGAACAACTGTCCAGTTCAATATTGACGCTATTTGTCTGAATGATTGTTTGTGTTTTTGATATTTTGAACACGATTTGTTTATTGTTTATAAATATCTGGGCGCGGACCAAGTGTTACGGGTTCCAGGATATTTTGACTTTCGAAATTATGCTTGGTCAGACTGTTTAGTTGTTTCTGGTAAGATAACCCCTTAACTTTTAAAAAAGACACCCCTAATGGTCCTATAT